ATCACCTCTCCCTTCTCCTTGGCCTTAATGTCGTGCAGTGCACAGAACGTTGCCATCAGGAGAGTGGCCTCATCATCCTCATCAACCTACGCTAAATGAGCCTCAGCCTTCTTCTCCTACTTAAGATTTGGGCACTCCTTTGCCTAATGGCCTATCTTTCCATAACACCGGTAGGCATTGGGGTCGACCTTCTTTTTCTATTCTGAAGAAGCCTTGCCATGACACTTGCCATCGCCACTGCGGCTAGAGGAGGCTTCCCCAGAGTTCCTCCAAGCAGCCCACTCCTCCTCTGTCAGTAGCAGCTTGCCACTATCCGTCGTTGCTGTGGCCTACTCCATGCGCTCATCCACCGCCTACAGACGGCCTGTCACATCATCAATGGTGAGGGTGGATAAGTCCAGCATCGTATCTATAGAGACAACGATCTGGATGTACTTCACCGGCACGGAGTGGAGGTACTTGGAGACCGCCTCTTCTTCATCGATGGTGACGCCATGGCTCCTTAGCTTGATGATGAGCAACTGCAAGCGGAGGGAGAAGTCCTCCACCGATTCACCATCCTTGAACTTGAGGGTGGCGTACTTCTACTTCAGCAGCTGGGCCATCACCTTCTTTGCTCGGTCGGATCCAACGCGCATCGCTGCAATAGCCTCCCATGCCTCCTTAGCAGAGTTCTTTGCCCCCAACGGCTCCTTGTACTCTGCGGGCACAGAAGCGAGGATAGCCTCCAATGCTGACTTATCGTCTTCTTCGTTGTCGGTGCCCTTGTCAATAGCATTCCAGAGCCATCGGGCTCTGAGCTTGACCTTCATGGTCACCGCCCACTCACCATAGTTGGTGCGAGTTAGCGTTGGCCAACTGGTGCCGCTGACCTCCCGCACCATGCGCACGATGACCTCCTATCGTGTCTGGGCAGCCACAACAGCACCGCTGTTGTCGCCCATCTCCAAACTGTCCGTCATCACCAGCAGTTAGTCCGGCGATGGTGCTTGTATGGCTCTGATACCAGTTGTTAGCCCCTGGATCACCGGCACGGGTGAGCCGACCACTCACCAGTGTTGCCGACCACACACTATGGCTAGAGGTAGAAGAAGGGAGGGAGAATAGAGCGCGTGCACACACAGCACAAGCACCAGCGTTAACCAGAGCTCTGCAGAGGAGATGGCAAAACTAAACTCGCTCTCTTTACTGAGTTGCAGTGCAAAACTATATATACAACTCTACCCATCTAATCCTAGTACACAGACATGTCAGGCTACCATGATGCTATAGTAATTATATGTGACAGCAGGGCTAACTTTGGCGCCTGCCCCTGCTGTGGCTACAGTACGGTAGGGGAGCCTTTCGGCGCCTGCCCCTGCAGCAGCTATAGTGCAGCAGTAGGGAGTCTTTCGGTGCTTGTCCCTGCCACACGTTCGTACAGGGGGAGCAGCAGATTACTTAACATAGTGCCTTCCCATTGTGCTCGTTCACTGTGACGTAGCCAGAGAACTGGGACAAGCTCGGCTCTTTGGCTGGCTGGGGAGGCGTGTCACCCTGTCGGCGTCCCGCTGGTCGCTGGCCAGCGACAACGAGTAGGAAGAGAAGGTGACCAAGGCAAGAGAGGAGACAAGGTAGAGGAAGAGACGTGATATTGCCATCGCCATGGGTCGGTGAGAGATGGTTTGGGCATTAGGGAATGGAAATTGGCAAGTGGAGTTGAGGAATGTCAAGGGCTGCGCGGCTAGGCCTCTTAAAGTCATGGCCCTCTCCTGCCTACCCAGTTTGTATACCCTTCCTTTCAAAAGGGTTTATGGCTTGTTAATAAATTGAAACGTTGTCCGTCCAGACGGATTTTGCGCTCGCCCATGCCGCTTCTGCCCGCGCCGCCCCCACTCACGCCCCAACCATCCGCCCGCACCTCTCATCGCGGACATGGTCCATCCGCCTACACCTACCCCTAGTGAGGTCCGTGCCGCCAACAAGCTCCACACCACCGGCGACCTCCGTGCCACCGGGGTTGAGCTCCACGTGGACGAGCCTCTAATCGTCCGAGCAACAAGCAGATGCTACGCTGAAAGCTCATGTTGCAATAGTTTATTTCAAGTGTTTCAGATGTTTCCGAGGTATGTTGCAAGTGTTGCATATTGATATTGCAAAAGTAGATCGGGATGTTGCACATGTTGTAATGGCTATACACATATGTTTCAAGTGTATGTTCCAAATATTTCATCTGTTTTAGACGAATGTTGCAAGTGTTTTGTCTGGATGTTGCAAAAGTAGATCTAGATGTTGCATATACATGCATGTTGCAAGCATATGTTTCAAGTGTTTTCAGGTGTTTCATATGTATGTTTGAAACTGTTTCATCTGAATGTTGCATATGTTTACAATGGCTTTCAAATATTTTTCAGGCGTTTTCGTAAGTGTTTCAGACGCTTGTTTCAAGTGTTTTATTTGTCTTCTTTTGTATGTTGCAACTATTGCATCTGGATGTTTCAAAAGTAAATCAGGTGTTGCATATGGAATGTGCGTGGAAAGCGAACAGTGGCGCGGATGATGTTTGGGGCAACATGGGACCACTACTGGTATGCTCCCTCGCTAGCCCGACGCGCTTGGCGGTCATTCGCTCTCTGTGCGAGCATGTCCGGACACTAGTGCCCAGATCGAACGTCCGAACGCTAGCAAGTCCCGTTAATAAATTGCTCCTGGCTGTAGAGTTCAATTCGTATGGTGACTTGGTGGCAAATTATAGAGCTTAAAATATGTATGGTTAGAGCATTTCCCACAAATTACTTATCTTCTATCCGTGACTTAAAAAGACATATACTCCATCTGTCCTGTAATATAGTGCATTCTATGAATTTTAAGACAAATTAAGAGAGAATATAAAAGACGCATGTATCCTCATTTTATTTCCTAATCAGATGCTATCATTAACGTGATTAATGGTGATTGGTTGATAACTAGAAAATATTTAATGTAAAATTGGTTTTTGTCTTTTAGAATGCACTATATTTGAGGATAAATTTTGAAGATGCACTATATTATAGGACAGAGAGAGTAGGTAGTAATGTCTATCAAGATCTAGCACTGAAGCCCAGTACAAGGCACTTGCTAATGCCACTGTTTTTTTAGATAATGGATAAAACAATATCCGGCCTCTACATCCATAGATGTACACAGCCCATTATTACAAAGTTTTGGAGGAAAAAGAGAGAGCCAGTCTTATAGATCGACCCGGACGCTAATTCAAATAGTATAAATGTTTCCATCCTTTATTGGATATCTCTAAAGCAATTATTTCCAATTTCTTGCTCATCGTAGAGAGCGCGTCCTTGGCTATCTCATCACGCTGCAGCTGGGCCCAAGAGCGTAACTAGTACGCTCCTCTGAAAATTACCTGCATCATAGAGTTAGATCTCATTTGATTAAAAACAACATCATTACGGCATCTCCAAATAGCCCAAAACATGGCAGCCACCCCCACCCAAATCAAATTTCTAATCCTTTTATTTTGATTAGTTAGCCAATTACCAAACATGTGGCTGATTGATCTTGGTTGGGTCAGACTAGTAGCAAAAAAGATAATCCTCCATATCATTTTGGTAAGGGGACAGTCTAGGAACAAGTGTTGGATAGTTTCATTCCCATTACAACAGATGCACTTCTGACTCCCCTTCCAATTTTTCCTAGCGAGGTTATCTTTGGTTAAGACGACACCCCTTTGCAAGAACCAAAGAAAGATTTTAATTTTTAGAGAAATTTTTATCTTCCAGATCTTCCTATGACGAAAAGGTGTTTGTGTATCTATAAGATAGAGATACATAGAACGGACAGAGAATAACCTAGATTTGGTTAAACTCCATCTAAAGTAATCTGAACCTTCCACCAATTCGACATTTGAGATCCGTGCTACTAAACTAAGCCATTCTGCAAGTTTATTATCCACCAGAGCCCTTCTAAAAGAGATGTTTAGTGGACTTGTAGTCATCACTTTTGAGACTGTTGCGTGAGGATCCCGCACTATATTATATAAGGATGGATATTTAAATTTCAGAGGCTTATCTCCTACCCATGTGTCGTCCCAAAACCTAGTGTTGGTTCCATCTTTAATATCGAATGAACCATTAGCCAGCACCTCATCTTTGATATGCATGAGTCCTCTCCAGAAATGAGAGTCATTGGGTTTGGCTGCCACCTGAGTTAGGCTCTTGGAGCTTAAGTATTTATTCCGTAAAAGAGATTGCCATATGCCTTCTGAGTTTAGCAGATTAACCAGCTATTTGGCTAGAAGGCATTTATTTTGTAATTGTAAATTTAGGATACCTAATCCTCCTTGATCCTTAGGATGGCAAAGGATGTCCCATCTGGCAAGACGATATCGATGATTATCTGAGTAACCTTGCCAAAAGAACCTTGATCTATAATGATCTAGGTTTTTAATGACCCCCTTAGGGATCTCAAAGAAGGACATCATAAAAGTTACTTTGTGAGTTAGCAATTCCACACACCCCTGCAGCTCAGTTATGGTGGGATAACACTAATCCAGTGTTTCATGCTCACACCAAACACATTGATATTGATTATCATTTGTAAGAGAACAAGTTGCACAAAAAGCTTCTGGATATTCGGTTTATTCTTTCAGAAGATCTGGTGGCTGATGGCTTCACAAAGGCACTTCCCAAGCGACGGCTGATCACATTTCCATGTAATATTAATCTCAACTTCACAGAAGGTTGTGATTAACGGAGGGTGTTAAGATATCAGTGATTGGCGTGATTGCTTGTTCCCTTGTATGAGTGATTGATTGTTGTATCTCTAGACTAGGAACGCTAGCACAAATTGTTTTAGTTCCTTTCTCTGTAATCTTGTAATGCAAGGTACACTTGTACAGGCCACGCACAGGGGCTGTTCGTGGCTATTTAACACGGAACCATGATCCCTAACGGGCATCACGATAACTCCAATTTTCACAATCATTGCAGTTTATCCTATGCCATCTTCTCTGAAATCTTGCTCTATCCCACCGCACCATCTATAAACGTTCTACCGTGTGTGGGAAGCTGCTCACCACGGAGGAATGTGTTGATCAGTGTCAACCCTTCAGCAGGCTTGTTAAGGGGCACCAGGTGACCTGCACCCCTGACCGTCACCATGCTCATCCCATAGTACTCCACAAACCTCCCAGAAACCTGCATGCCACGTTGTGCCCCTCATTTTATTTTATTTTTAGCATCACTGGCTACTGATATATTCAACGCACAAGATGTTCAGATAAGCTGTTAGTTCAGACTTCAGACCTACCTGTTTGTCCAGGTACCAGGGTTGCCACTGGGTCTTCATCCGCAGCTTAAGTGCTTCCACACAGTACCGGGAGCCGATCACTGGGACCCTACCATCTGCGTCACCACTTCATTGACAAATAAACGGATGCATTATAGAGAGAATGATTGATGGGTGTGAAGAATTCACTTGAGCATGCACTTGTTGTGAGATTTCAAAGAAGGTACACATGAAAAGGAAGTTATGCCTAACATGCATAGATGTAGGACATTCTCAGTGTCCTCAAAGAACCAGACCTGTAGAGCCAAACTCTCAGTCCTGCTTTTATGAGCTTAGAGTATATGGGTAGGACCGAGAATACGGAGAAATTGTAGGAATTCAGGATGGGATCACTTCACAAGAGATGGATGAGTTCATGTTCTTTTTGTTCCAGAAGAATTCAGTGACTGGTACTAAGAATATCCAAGTGAACATCTTTGAGACAATCCACCTGCAGACATGCCATTTCACTGGAAGCGATCCACTGACGACATTAGCATGAAACGCCTTCTGCACTTCCTTCTTGTTGAAGTAGTCCTCAGCATAGGATGAGTAGCACGGATCGTAGCCAGAGAACATCCGTATCCTCCTCCTGAACTTCTCCTGGCATTTCGAAGGTAAGCATCATTAATTTTTGGAAGGATTTTTGACCTGCTGGAACTTTCTGCATTCATATGCAAGCATACTATACCTGACCATTCATGGAGAATGCATGATTTTCAGAAGACGCTGAACTCTGGTTTAGAAGGCACTTGGGTTCATAGATGTTGTATATGTCAATCTCGTCGTACTGACTATAGACGATATCCATGACAGCATTGCAGTCATCAGACAATTAAAGTTCTTGAAGTCGCAATCCTTTTTGATGTGGTCGTATATTTCATCAGACACAACTGAGTGGCTCCAGGCATACTCAGCTAGCCCTTTTGAATCATAGTAATAATTAGTAATAGGATTCCCAACCTACAATAAGTCCATTCTGAATGTGTTATGTTCCAGCAGGAATTGATTTCTCATGTGCATAGCTTGAACATAACTCTTGTTTCCATTCTTTTTTTTTTTGGTTCATATAACCAATATCCACATAGAAAGTTTAGAAACCTTATACACTATCCCAAAAAAGGTGGAAAATGTTTTCTTCTTGTTTTCTGAATGTTCAATTCACGTGATATTACATTTGTTGTAGAGACTGTGAAGACTTCTAGTCAGACTTGCATTTGTTACTAAGCAATATAACATTCAGACAACCAGCAGATATATTCAGGTGCTGTATCTTTTTACGCATGAAACAATTTATTTAGAAAGGAAAATTCTTGCAGCATAAATCTAATTCAAATCCTCACAATGAACCCCTTGAGGTTGGTATATGCTTTGCCCTTCTTGTCCGTGTTCCTATCATAAACAAGTTCAGCCAATTGTGGCACATAGTGACCTGCAGCATAGGAAGTTGAGATTTCTTCTTCAGTGATGTACAGGAGACACAGTTTTCAAGGCATTTCTCCATAGATGTTGCCATCAACTATAAGACCGATGTGACTCGTGAACCTACCACACTAGTTATTTTTTTATTATTTTAAGAGACATATGTTTGGAGATCCAATGAATCATTAAAAATATTTAACCATGTCCATGTGCACATACCAGAAATGAATTTTTGTACTTGATTTCAACCAAATTAAGCAAATTAATTCAGTATGGGCACCATTTGCATTCTCAAATTAAGATCCAAGCAAAAAAAAATCATTTTCACTCAGGCTTTCTTTTTGGGTTTTATTCTGAGCAATTGGATGACAGTCAGCACATAGTGTGTCATGAAAACGAAGGCTGAAAATGATGCCTACAATCTTTTGAATTGCTACTTTCTGATCTGACATTTTCTTCAGTTTGTATATCTATTATTCACTTCTGAGACCGTGAACAATGAGTTGTCGTAATCGCCAACCCAGTGGAAAACCAAGCTGTCAAGCCTTTCTAGAAAGTAACTGATTTTTTTTCTGTAGGGACATTCTAGTTTCAGATAAGATGGTGGAACTATTTTGTCAAGCACACTTGGCATATTGATGAACCAAAGCAGAAACAGGAATACTTGGCATATTGAGAAATCCAAGCAAGAATAGAAGGTTGGTGAAAGTCTGAGTTGCTGCATTCCATTTGGACTGCATAGTGGTAGTGGAATATGGAAAAGGACTCATACAAAGCTACACTCCCATGCTTTGCACCAGATTGTGTGTTGTAGAGATACCTTCTAGCACATTGTCTACGTTTCTCAACAGAATTCCAGAATTCTAAACCATTCCAAAAAAAAAAGGTTGAAAACCTTTCATGATTTCTAGCCAAAATTACCTGCATAGCTCTCTCCTGAGATGTAGAACTCTCTGTCCTTGTACTCCGGAAATTGCTCCAGTCAATTCACTAGGAAGCTATAAGCATCTTCCGCTCGAAAGAGCAAAGGATTACATAGAATCCCATTTGTAGTAACCACATAATGACCGGAACTGAACAGCAAAGCAAAGTTTAATCTTTCGAAGAATTGGAGCCTTTAGTGGGGAGCGTGCTTTTATGATCAATTTAACGTTGTTACATGATGAATTTACCTACAAAGTCATCATTGAGTTTGTCAAGGTCAGAGGACGTGTTGGTGTAGGAGAAGCCAACTCCAACAGGAGACTCCAAGAACAGCAGGTTAGCCTCTGGCAAGAACAAGAAAGACTCTGAAACAAATGCAACTAGCCTTGAGAATGAAAAAGAATCAGAAATCAGGAAGCAGAGCACCTTTGTGCCAGGCATATTCGTTGAACTCCAGCGCTGCTCCTCGTCTGACAACTCTGAGAGGCCCTAGCTCAGATGCAGCTCCATAGCCAATTGAGGAGCAACCAGGTCCTAAATCGGTAATCACAAGTTAAACCTTCTAGAAATTAAAACAAACGCGCAAAGGGTAGCAAGAAGTGAAGTTCAAAAATGAGACAAAAAGGTAATTCAGAAAAATTATCATCAATGCATACAAATGAAATGATCACAAATACCAAGAACATGAATCGGCACAGAGAAGAATAAACTACAAAAGCAAGAACAGATGTACCAGTAAGTAGTAACCAATAAGACAGACAGGTCATCGCTGCTCACCAACTAAAGAAGCAGAACAAATGGTAGGAGCAGTACACTAAGAATCGAGTAAAGGTCACTAATTTCCAATGGAAACTAATCCTTTGAAATTTTGTAACTGCTAAAGGTACGGTAGAGAAGAAGCGACCTCCATTGAGCCAGAGGAGGAGCGGCTTCTCCTCCGGCGTGGTCTGCGCCTCGAAGAACCAGTAGAAGAGCGCCCTCCCGTTGCGCTCGTTCACCGTGACGTAGCCGGAGACGCTCGGGCTCTCCGGCTGCCCGGGGAGGCCCACCACCCTGTCGGCGTCCCGCTGGTCGCTGGTGGCGCTGGCCAGCGACTGCGAGGAGGAAGAGAAGGTGGGCAAGGCGAGAGCGGAGACGAGGCAGAGGAAGAGACCTGCTGCCGACATCACCACGGGTACGGGTCGGTGGGAGATGGTTTGGGCGCCTGGGACTGGGAATGAATGTTTGGTAAGAATAACCTGGCTATAGAGTTTTTCGTGATTTGTTGGCAAGAATGTTTGGTAATAAAGGTTTTTTGCTGGGTCAAAGTCGGGAGTTTTTTTTATGCTTTCTCACACCATCGCTCATGTGCTTATGTTGCGTGTAGGATGGCTAATCATGTTTATCTGTTTTTTTATATAAAGGGTTCATTAACCAGGCCTTTATATCCAAAAGGATATACACAGCCAAAAAAATGCAATAGTACTTAGACTCACACATTAATAAAGAGGAGAACACACAATCAAAAAGGAAAAAACTACCACCTCAGCACATTCCTGCATCCCAACATCCTCTCCTGAAACAGTCAGATTCGGCGAGTGGAAGTCGTCAAGTCGCCGCTACCCCGAGTACACCATCGCTATGAACCTCCGCTGGTGTCATCTTCATCCGCTTCAAGTGAGGTGACGCCACGCGTCGCCGGTTAGCCTACCTTCATCCGTCGTCGTCCAGTTAGGATTAGTCGATTAGACGCGAGCCGATTGGATCCGCTTCCAATTCACCAGATTCCAAGGTCGCCGTCGCCCATAGAGCAGCCGCCGTCATTGGGATAATGGCAATCGCCTCAGTCGGAGTCCTCTGTCGCTGCCGCCGAGGATTATCCTCTTCTACCCAGACTCCTAGGCCTCCATCGCTTCTACTCTTCTAGGGTCGCCGTTGTCGCCCCGAGGATGGGTAATCATGTTTATCTTTTACATATCTACTAATATATTATACTCTCTCTATTCAACTATAAGTTTTTTCCAAATAGACAACAAAAGCTTTGTCGCAATTTTTATGAGATGGAGAAAATAAAAGGTAAATTGTTGGCCCAATTTTTTTTATTGAAAACCAACTCCAAAAGTCACAAACTTCAATACATCGAACCGAACAACCGGAAACTTCACTCCACTACTTGCTCAACTCTAAGTCAACTTGGTCGAAACGACCCAACTAGCAACTCAACTACCCTAACATCTAGCTAACAACTAAAACAACTCAGAACACCTCCACTCAAGAATGTAAATTATTCTATATTCAAGTTGGAGGATGATTTTAAAAATCTAGGGATAGCTTTAGGAGGGTAAATCTGACATTACTCAATCAAAAATGTTTTTTTAACTAACGTAGTATTTACTTATGTGTTGTATAAACATCCTCCAATTATTTATGGCCCTATGGCGTATATAACAGCACTTTGTGACGGTTGAAATCAAATAAAAATATAATAAGAAAAATAAAGAAAGAGTCTCGATGTAAAGGAACGAAGATAGACCGGAAGCGCTGTTGGCCTATTTAGTTGTTTATATTTATTTATATATACTAGGTAGCGTGTCCGTACGTTGCTACGTGATAACTAAACTTTTATACTAAAAACATACGGATCGCACAATAAGATAACAATACTGTAAGACATTAAACTGACATTTAATCCAAAAAACAAAATTTGTGAAATTAACAGTCACTAAGAGCACGGCACCGCAGGCTCACAAACTCTACTATATAGATCTTTCCGTGATACGGCTAAAATAATGTTTTATATCGGCAAGAAGTCTCCGATATTACAAACTAAATAAAGCAATCAAATATGTAAGACAAACATTGCTCAATCCACATATTTTGAACATGTTTGACCAATAAAAATACACAAAATGACTATTATATTAAACTAAATCCATACCCATCGTCTATTCAAAGTGCATGTCACAAGCGTGTAAATAATTTCAATATTATTTAGTTCTCTAAATGTATGAGCCGCGACACGGTGTCCTTAGCAAATTCTTGAACTCGGCAACATCTGGCTTCATCAACAAGCAGACGATTGCGTAGGCCTACAAACAAATAAAAAACTTTTAGGTCAGTGTTGTAGTCAATAAATTAAATCAATGAATTACCCCAAAAGAGCCTCACTTTAAAAATCATGCGCCGTGTTGTCCAGTGGTGCAGTGTTTACAAGGAGGAGGCAACGCTGCTCCGTGCTCCCTCTCCCGTGTACGTGCCATCCCAGTCCCGCCCACCCCAGTACCCCACCCCACCCCAGCCAGCAACCGCTTCGCTGGAAGCTGCTATCAGCAGATCGTGCAAGCATAAACATCATGCCTCATCTTCTAACTGGACATCATCTATCATCTATTGTCCAACCAGAGAAGCCAAGCAGGGGCATTGCAACCACAGGGAGAATAATGCATTGACCAGGAAAAAAAGTAAAAAGAAGACCTAGTGAGGGCAGGGATGAGGCGACAGAAGGCGAGTTGGGTCGGTGGCCTGACCTTGTCGGGTTCCTGCAGGGCTGCAATGAGTGAGAAAGCTGCCGCCCCCTAAGCTGGTGCAATGTCAATCCTAATTCAGTCCTAGTTACAACGTGTATGAGCATGATAAAATTCATGATAAAAATGATAGACGAGGCTCCATTGAAGCCATCAACAATCTGAAATTGTAATATGACAAAGGAAAAGGAAAATACAAATCAGGTTTGAATTAAAATTTCCAGATAGGTGCAGCCCGGATTATGTATGAATGGGCTAGCATTATACATTTTGCAGTACACTCAATGCCTTACTACTACCACTACAAATATAACCCCGCGCATTCGAGTAAGGTAGATGCCCACACAAATTAATTCCCCATTTTTGTAAATTGGAAATGCAGGAGATAGGTTACATATATCACCATAAAATAGTTCTGTTTGTTAATGGTTATCAATGGATAGTGACATGAGTAGACCCTATGTTTCCGAATGACACGGTGTTATCTGAATGACATGGTCTTAACAAGGAAACTGTTTTCGGCGAAAGAGAATACCAAGGCTAATTTTCTGATGCCTACAGATTGTAAATTGCAAAGAACAGCATGTTTCCAGAACGTAGCAAACAATATCATGCTGTAACATACAGCAAGAATTCGGGCAAGAAAAAGATAAGAATGTTTTTCAATATGGAGGATCAACAATGTTTTATAAGCATACAGTTTCATATGGATATGTGCGAGAATTTTAAGCAGAACAAGAGGAAATATTGATGTAATAGTTATAGGGAAGAACCCACCCTTTTGGAAAACCATCAAGCACCGAAACCTTCTGAAAAAGGGGACGTGCACCAAGGAAGCACTGCAATGTATTTGAAAATGTATTCTGACAGCGTTATCGTCGTCCTCTGCAGTTGTATACAAAAAGAGAAAATATCATGTACCTCGAGAAATAGTTTCGTTGCGGCAAGAAATTATCATGGAGGCATTTTTCTTAGAAATAAACAATCACATACGCACATTGTTAAACCCATGTCTATTCAGTTAGCTGAACATGAACACAGGAACCTAGAATTGAATACACCAAAAGGCAAATAAACAAGATGTACTTTTTAAATTTACTCTTTGTCTATGGTTCACTCTATAAATTATCGTAGAAAGACATATTTAATAATAGCAGGGACTGATCTGATAATAATGCTAAGGAGCAATGCCTATAACAGGAAAAGACAAAGGCTAAGAAATGCAGTAGTGTTGAAGTTTTCAATAACAGTGCCTTATCCAAATCAGCCTAAAAAGAGACAGTAACCTAAGGTGCATGGGAACTGATGTAAATCAAAATGCGAAAACAAGAGGGAAATAGTAAGACTAGAAATAAATTCAATGTAAAAAAGGTAGCAACATGAGATGAGTACAGATATCTGCAAGATCAGGGCTGCTCTATAAATCACCCGTAAAGAACGCAGGAAGACAAGATAGCAAATGAACAATATGCATGAAGCAATAATGAGTTGATAACCCATATCTTGATTTTTGAAGCACCCAGTAACCAAAAATGGTTGTAAACATGAAGTAACGGAAAACATGGACGCATAATTTTGGAAAGGAGAGAAGGCCCTTTTAGCATACACATGAGCCTCTATATGTGAGCAGTAATCAAAGTAGGTCCTGAGAACATGAGCATTGAGACAAATAGAGGCAGGTTTGTAACAGACATGAGGGCATGAGTCTGAATTAATTGGATAGCTATTATCCGCAATCTTTACATATACTTTGACAACATATGCCAACTCAATAGTAAGGATGTATGCATAGCTAAATAGTGGTTCCATGTTGTGTGAGTCCTACATTAACTTAGGTAGCTTATAACATAGCATGGAATTGTTTGCAAAGTACAAAAAAAAGATAAGAACATAAAACAGATGTAGTCCACCAGGTTGGATGGAAAGAACAAAAACTAACCTATAGTTCCAGCGCTAGACATGAGGGAAGAATCTTCTAGGAACCTATAGGGAAATAAAAGAACCGGCCTATCTTATGAAAACACTTTGGGTACACAAACAGCAATGCGACTGAACGGTAAGCCAATATTCGTAGTGAGCACAAAAAAAGATGAACATAGGAATACGTAGAAGGATGTTCTAAACCTATAGCTGGTAGCTTCAACTTAAGAGAATAGTGTAGTATCACTGAAGATGCAGAAAAAATCAAGAGGCACCATGTCAATATTTTTGTAACCTAGGATATCCTAGAGAGCTGTAGCTAACAGCCTAGAGATTTAGATGACTTTGGTAAACTCAGAGAGCTTTAGATGCAGGAGCAAAGCTTGCATGGAGACCAAAATGCAAACATCTCAATTCAATCTTTGTACTGAAAATAACATGGCCAATTGTATGTACGCCAATCCAATAGATTGATCCTAACTACAACCAATTTTAGATCTATAATTGAGAGCATTGACGAATCATTCCAGAGCTTTCTGAAAAAAGAGCAGGTAACATTCTGTATAGAATATTTTCAGTTATATATGACACTACTAAACTATAAAAATATGGCAATCCTACAGACCGTGAACTTCAGGACATCACAGAAATGACGCATAAGGATAAATGATATGCGCATGGGATTCAACTAAATTGAGCCAACTCTAGTGACGCGAAAAAAATGTACAAATATTACAAAAACA